CCATTTTAGGAAACAATTAACAATCTTAAGTGACAAACTAGTCATTAAATATTAAAAATAATACATTTATAACATCACAGTTATCAATACTAAGTTACTAACACATTGTAATATATATACCTATTAAAATTATTTCTCAAAATATACCCGAAATACTTTATTTAATTATCACCTAAATAACCGTGCTGTTTTGCTATGGGAACCTTCTAGTGGGATGGATGTAGTACAAATTTATAATACTCCGTAGCTCTTTTCTAATTAGAAAAAATGTGTATACACAAGCAACTACTACCTCCGTCCCATATTTATCTTCATAGTTCGGTTTACGATGCTTGACTGACGATAAAGCAACTCGATCCCTGTTCACACTCGGATTATTTTTAGTAAATAAAATTTACATATTCAGAAACTACATTAAAACCGCTACAAAGCCTGATCAAGAAAATTTAAGTTTGACAAAAATTTGATATATAAAGTAAAAGATTAAGAGTAATTTGAGTTGACCATGTGAATAGTAACTATGAAGATAATTTTGGGACAGAGGGAGTAAGTAAGTGAGGTGGTCACAAAAAATATACACTTTTATACACCTTAGTCTCTTCATAAGAAAAAGGCCACAATGTGGCTCAACTGATAAATAGAACATGTCATAAGGAGTAACTCTTGAATTCAAATATTGGCAACCACAATAAGAAATTATTATGTAAAAATGTATAAAATATGTGCAAAAATTTGGGTCAAGGCCTCATTCGGTATCTACATTCTTTCAATTTAATTCACTAAGAGCATCTCCAACCCAAGGGTGCATTGGAGGTGAAGTGTCATGCAAATGCAAAGGGTCCATTGAGGATGGAAGGGAAAGCAAACAAATTGGAAGAGCCTACTTTTTTTCTACTTTTTAAGTTGGTGAGGTGAGACCCAAGGTCTACCAATGGAGTTTGTGCAAGACCTTGACCTTCTCTCTCCTTTGACAACTAAGCTTGACCTTCTCTATTTTTTGTTGCATTGGAGAGCACAATTATTAAAGTGGAGTGCATTTGGTGTGAGGTGGAGATACAATCCACCCTTGGGTTGGACATGCTATGATTAGCAACTAACCAATGTTGAATGCCCTACGGGAAGGATGCCTCTATTTTTTATACTGCCTCCGTCCTAGGGACAAGTTCTCACTTTCCTTTTTTGGCAGTCCCAACAAAAAGTTTTCATTTCTCTAAATGGAAAGTTATCCTATATCAAAACAGTGCCAAACAGTGCAAAACAGTGTCAAACAGTGTCGAAACAGTGCCAAACAGTGTCGAAACAATGCCAAACAGTAAGATTTACTCCTCTGTAACTTTATTTTCTTAATATGTGTGAAAGTCAATCCAGGAATTTTTTCCTGGAAGGGAGGGAGTACTACGTAACAAGGCTTCAGCCTAATATTGTGAAAAGAATCTTACGAAACTGTCCGCTTTGGATACCATACAATTTATGTGTGTTAGATCACATTGACAAATCGATAAGAAAATCCTAAACATGCCAGCAAAAGCTAAGCTAAGGTCAACATCAACAAAGATTGCTGTCATTCATTCTAGATCCTGCGTAGATACTTAGGGAAACATGGTAATCCGTGACGCTGATATCCTAATAGTCGTTCCCCCATCATCGAATAAACTTTCTATTTTCATTTTGTAATTTAAAACTTTTGGTGATTTAAAACTACATCAATAATGTGTAGATTTGGGATGGGTTCGATTTCTATGCAAAATAGTTGTAATCGTTTAAAAAATATTAAATCTTATTAACGGTTGATTAACATTGTGGTTCTTGTGACTTAATGGTTCCTAGTTTTACAAAAAATCTTGTAATACATTAAAATATATGAGTATATACTAATAAGAGATATACGGAGTATAAAATTTTAATTATTATATATAATGGTTACATAACAGTTTCAGTACATATAAGAAATAGGAATCGAACCATTAACAAGTACTTTCTCCGTCCCTTAAAACTTTCCCAACTTTTCTTTTTTGGATGTCCCACTAACTTTGTCACTTTCCCTTTTAAGTAAACAATTTATGGTTCAAGTTAATTCTCTCTCCTCTACACAAACCTCAACCACACAGTTTTTACTTTATTAATCTCCGTGCCGGTCAAACTTGGCAAAATTTTAAGGGACGGGGGTAGTAAGTAATAAATGTTGGAACCGAACCAAACAAAGTCATAACAGTTCGGTCTGATTCGGTTCTCTGGTTCTTGGTTTCAAAGTCTCAGCACTAATGATTTGTTTATACTCCCTCCATTTTTCAATAATAACCCCATTAGGTTTTTTGTAGTTTTTAAGAAGAAAATAGCAAGGATCGGTGGCGGAACCGGGGGTGGGCGAGCCGGTGCCGGCGCCACCCCTTCGCTGGAGATGTTAGGGTATACATATACTAGTATATAATTTCCATAGCGCCCCTGGACCTTGGTTGTCTTCTTCATTACCCCTGCTGATTTTCGTCGACATGTGCTCTGTTGGACCATGGATGACTTCAAAGGGTCTGTTTTTATTTTGCTTTTTACTTGACCCATACGACGACGCTGTTTTGCCAAGTGTAAAAAGAATAGAAACGACTTAGTATAGTAAGGTTAATTTTGATTCTTATCGGTTATCAGCCCAAACCTAAGGCGGTGACTTGACCAAAGGCCTAGCCGCCCAAATGCTAAAATCGGAAATATGAAACGACTGGGCATCTTAGGAGAAAGCATCAAGCCATTCTGCGTCTGCTCATCTGCTACTTCGTATTATTTGTGTTTTAGTAATTTAATTTTGAATTATTTGTATCCTGGGTTGTGATTAATGTGTTTTTATTATCTTTAATTAAGTTTTTTCAGTTGTGTTTCCGCTTTGCTTTGCCGTCTTGAGATTTACTGTTTTTTGTAATCCTTGTTTTTAATTATGTAGTTTAGCATGCCATTAATATACTCCGTACAGTTTTAGGCTAAAGCTTAATCAGTTTATTTATTTACTTTTAAGGTTTTAAAAATCTTTAAAAATTGACCAATAATTTATAGTGTATTACTACGTATTATTGTTTTATCTGCTATGTACTTGTGTAAATAACTTAAGTAAATAAAAAGGGGAAATGTCAAATAGACTCTCGAACTTACATAAAAAGGAAAAATAAGACCTTATATAGAGGCTCTGTCCCATCGTCGCCATTTGGGGCGGTTCCCGGTGGAAGTTTTGGATGAAATTTTTTGAGCTCTTATTCATTAAGTCTAATTTACTCATACCAAATTTCAGCTAACAATTCAATCGGGAAGACATTCAAATGAATTCTTGAAGATAACTGCGCATTTAACTGCACAGTTATCTTCAAGAATTCATTTGAATGCCTTCCAGATTGATGTTTTAGCTGAAATTTGGTATGAGTCAGCTAGACTTAATGAATAAGATGTTCAAAAAATTACATTGAAAAATTCTACCGGGAATTTCCCCAAATGGCGACGGCCGGACAAGGCCTCCTATATAAGGGCTTATTTGAACTTTTTATGTAAGTTTGACCCTTTTCCCAAATAAAAATGACCAATAACTTATACGTAGTACGGTGTAGTATATTACATAATATTATTAATGACTTATAATTTTATTACTCCCTCCGTCTCATTCAAAGGTTTTCACTTTCTTTTTTTTGGGCGTCCCGCTTAAAGGTTTTCATTTTTTTATTAAGAAAATAATTAACACTCTTAAATAACAATTTTAATCATCAAATATTAATATGCAATTACAACATCACAGTTATCATCATTAACTCATTATTATATATCCATCAAAACTATTTGTCAAAATATACTCGAATTAAATACATAGTGTTTAATATTGTCTAAATAATCGTGTCATTTTGTAATGAACCTTTGAACGTACGGGACAAAGGTGATATTTGTTAGTTTACCTATGTGTAGTTGACCCCAAATTTTTTTTGGAAATAAAGTTTAAATGTTATTGTTGTTAGATTATGTATGTCTATATTATCATTGTATTTTCTCATACTTTTTTTACAATTTCACTATTTTGAGTTTTGGAGAATTTCTTAACCGCCCCCTCAAATATTCTCTTGGTTCTGTCACTGGTAAGGATAGTATATAGAGTGTAGGGTAAGGAATACGAGACAATTATTAGAAAATGGAGGGAGTAAGATTAAAATGAATTAGTTGAATCGATTAAATTAAATCTATTGAATTAATGAAATCCTAGTTCAATCGGTTGAATTAGTCGATTAAATCTATTGAATTAATGAAATCATAGTTCAAATTGACTTTTCTTTATCAATAATGACAAACTTTGAACAACGATTTTAACTATTATAATTGTATATAATTTATAAATTCTATACTTTCATTAAAATATTTTGAATAAGGAACATTTTGATATAATTTTATATTCAAAATACTTTCGTATTATAAAATATTATTAGTCAAAGTTGATTGTCATTGTCAAAGAAAAATCAATTTAATTTGATGAACTTTTGCGGGATGAAGGGAGTAACAAATTATACTTCATCCATTCTTTTTTTGGTGCAACATTCTCATTCTTTTTTAATTGCAACATTCTCCACTAGTAAAAAAATGGCTTATAGTGACAGTAAATTAGTGTCACTAAACGATTTAGTGACACACTGAAAGTGTCACAGAAAAGTGGGGCAAGTGACACAAAATTTTGTGTCACTGTTAACAAATCACTTTTGTGTCACAAAATTATGACATATAAACATCATTGAGAACTGTGATATATATGTAACACGGATTTTTGTGATACCAATGCATCACGTTTTTTAATGATATATACATATCAAGAATTTTTGTGATACCATGGTATCATATTTTTTAGTGATATACCAACATCAGCAAATATAGTGATACTAATACACATTCAAATTTTGTGATGGTTTGGTGTCATATCATTTTGACACTGCACTATATCTTGCATTCATGATACATTAGTTTATGTTTATTTTTACAACAAACTAATTGTTCAGATTTCAAGCAATACACTAAAAGATGTAATGCAAAAAACGCAACCAACTTTAAATACATCTCATCTAATAATAGTGTTAAGTCATCATTGTTAATTCTTCATGCTAGGTTACAACTTCCACAACAAAATGGGCGCATGTTTTCAGTTTCGAGCAAAAATGACGCCACAATTAACCGGGGCATGCATAATAGTTTTACATTCCACAAAACATGAACCTACAATCCAACATAAAGTTGTTACATGTAACAGCCAAAATAGAGTGTTCCTTGATATATTCCTTCACACCAAAAGTACAAGAATTGATCATCACCAGACCATCATTCAACTCAACCGCATCTGTAAACAAAAAGTACGTACAAGTATAAGAAATTAATTGCACAATATGTACATATGCACGACAATTTTATAGAATACTACAATGCTTAGAATTGAAACTCGTATTCTACTACTAATTGAAGTTTGCTTTACAAACCATGTTAGAAACTCCTGCACTAATTAAAGGATGACATTTAGTTCAACACATTTAATTAGTTCAACAGTGTAATTCAAAATGATACAAACTGATTTACTTTTCAAGTAATTCAAAATAATACAAACTGATTTACTTTTCAAGTTCTTTTTTGTTGCATATGCTGCCCACTTCTCATTGCATTTACTTTTCAGTTAGTAAAGTAACACTTCACAATATGTTCTTCACAAGAAGTATAAGAAATTAATTGCACAATATGTACATTCTCTTCATTGCATTTACTTTTCAAGTCTAACCGTGTTAGTCTAACATTTCTACAACAAAATGATTTACTTTACCGAATTCATAATCATCTAAGGCAGCAACAACAATAAATCAAAATGAAAATAAAATTCTTACTTTAGGACCAATTTTGTTGCATATGCTGCCCACTCCTCCCGCACTTGCAAGATGTCTTGTTCAGAGTAGTCCTTTATTGTTGAGAACTAGAGTATAAAAATACATATACAAACTTCAATTAATGTTATCCCACAAAAATATATATAAACAGTCCACGTTTAACTCACATTCTTTTTCAGGACGTTAACATCACAAACAATGTCACTCATGTACTTCATCAAGAAGTATCCACATTCCATAGAACCAGTTTGCTTAGGGCACTAGATAAGTGTGAAGTACAAATTAGTATTATTATACAACATAATGTAAACATGCCAAATAGAATTTAGTTTAATGAAGAACATACCATGACTGTTACCCAATTCAGAGATAACCTCTTCTTAGAAACAGAGGCATGATGAATTTTCACTCCCCTGATATTCAAATACAAGTTAGATATGAGTACATGATTTTTTCATTGACTTATAATTAAAAGTGTTTATTTTTCAACACAATGCTCTGACGGTAACAATTACAACAAAAGGCCTACGTACATGCATGTAATTAAGTACCACAATTATGACACTCAAAAATAACTTAACTGGTTCACAATTAGTGACAGATCTTCTGATGGCTTCTCTCCAATTGAGTCCAAATAGTACACTGTCCATGCCGTAATATCAATAGCTACTAACACCCAATGATTGCTACACGATATATTATAAAGTTAATCAATTGCTATAATAAAATCCAGGTTGAAATAAAAGGATACGAATCAGTAGCAAAATAATGTTTAGTGTAATACTTTTTTAAGGTCAATTCTGGGATAGTTAAACAAAGCTTATGACATTTGAATATGCATCACCATAGCAATTGAGCACAATCACACAAACCAACCAATTCTTACAGATGAGCTTATGCACATTGCATGACCCCAGAAAAGTAAAAGTAAAAGATCATAAAAGATTGAGCACAATCACATTAATTTGCACTTTGCATTACCAGTTTTTTTAAACTAGTAGACCATTAAAAATAAAAGATCATCCACTTGCAGCATGCGACACTGTAAACCAGCAGGATTACCAGAGCCGTCTCCAGGATTTTGGAGGCCCTAGACGAAAAGTTTTAATTTTTATATATCTTAAAGTGAAATTTATAAGAACATCACTAATCAAGACTACCTAACATTTTTTCAATAGAACAAATTGGTTTTACATACCAATCCATAGAGCCAAGTAGCCAACAAATGATTGTAAATCAAATCTCTTTCTCATCTAATTCTATCTCTTAGGGCACCCCGGGTCAAATATTCGTTCATGTCTTGATAAATGATACTCCGTAATACTATACCATAGATTAAAAAATCAAAACAAATCAATTCAAAACTTAAAAATTCTAAATACAGTCACAAATAAAATAAAATACGGAGTAACTAATTTAGTGGAATCCATGCAATCACACTTGAATAGTTGGATGTACTCGTATTTAATATTTAGGCATTTTTCCATTTAGAACTTCAAGACGTCAAGTATTTAAGCCAAACACTAAAGATTCAAAATCCTTATAACCTAACCTAGACATACACTTCTCTATTCTACATTTCTACTTTCGGCTTTCAAGTTCCAATTCAAATAGCTAGGTAACCTTTAAAATTAAATTTTCATATGGAGTATTAGTAATACTACGAACTTTTTTGGAGGCCCTCACCAGATGGGAGGCCCTAGGCAGACGCCTGGGCTGACTGGCCCCAAAGACGGCCCTGAGGATTACTAACTCTACTTTCACTAGTAGTACTCCAAGTCAAATCATTGGTCAGTGCAAAGAAGGATTTAGTGTAATACTTTTAACCATCTTAATTACCATGTATTATAAGGGATTAGCGTGATTTGCCCAAGCAAACCAACAGCCAAAAGATCTGCTATATATCGAGACCTCCTTGTAATGGACTCATCTGAGGATTTCAATGGCACTGGTACTGCAGCAGACGTGCCAAATTGGACTGGCATATTACCTCCATCTTGAAGCATCTTCTCATGCAAGTGCCTACACATTGAATGAAAAAAATCACATGGAGTTTTATCAATATAGAGCTGCAAAACTAACATAAATGAAAAAAGAAAATTAACCACTCATGATAATTTTCAGAATGGATAACTTAAATAAATTGTAAATCAAACTTACCTAGACCAGATTTCTACAACAGAATTGTTCACCTGCTCAAAGTTGATTACAAGGCCGCACACATCCTTATTGAAAATAGATTTAGTTGCAAACCCGAATACTTCTGCATCATGTTCGACCATGTACCCATCTCCTAGGCATTTGTCAACTAGCATAGAAAACATCTTCATGCTATTGCTTTGCTCTTTTCTTTTTTCGGCAGCAAACCTTGTAGTTCTTTGCATTATTAGTTTCCTTGCCGGTGGTTGCCTTGACTTCTTCATCTTAGCCCTTGCATGTTCTTTAACAACTACAACACCTCCAGCTTCAACTTCAATTAACTTCTCTGGAATGACTTCTTCCTTGAGGTGAGGAGGTTCAACCTCAAATACATTTTATAAGATGATTAAATAATCATTCATCATTCGCAGTAGTTATTAAATTATATTATTAAGATTTAATTTTAAAAACATAAATTCAGATTATTATATTATCCATTCATTTTCATTTACCCCAGTGCCGCAAAGGCTCCCCACCTACCCCATTTTCAAATTATTATATTATAAAAAAGAATATGATTAAACAATACCCTTGTTTTAGTACCACCTAGTTCACTCACAACCTCTTCTCGTGATGCTTCACTTAATGGTGCGTTATTAGCTGCTCTAACTACATTCTCCTCGGGAAGATTCTTCATATGCATGAATCGCGGGGACCTTCCTGAAACTGCTGCAAGATGTTTTTTTTTGGGAGTCAACTTTTGTTCTTCTAGCACTTCAGTTGCCTTAATAACCAAAATTCAGAAGATTAATAGGTTAATAACTTCATCATAAATATACACTCCATATATGCATACCATTAAAGGATATATTAACACATTTCACCGAGCATGCTTATATTTGCACTATGAAATTTCAAAAAAACTATGTCACTCTGAATAAATACCACAAAACTCCAACCAGAAATCTAATAATATAATCATACTTCATTCCATTGAGATTTGAGAGTGCTATATTGTGGATGAAAGGGTTGACAAAGCTAAATTATCTAAAAATGTATTACTCCGTATTAGTTTTTTGAAAAATCTGATAAAATGGTACTCCGTAATATTTAAAAAAGAGAAATGCGAGTGTGACTCACATTCATTGCAGCAAAAAGAATTGCACTATTATTACTACTATGATGATTATGAACTGATGCAGCTAATCAATATAAACATAGACATGCAATAAATAAGACTTAAATAACCTGATGCAAGTGTTAGAGATACAAATAATATTGAAAAACACGTTGGATTTATATACCTTTCGCTTTGATTTTGTATCTCCTTCTTCACTCTCATTTGACTTGGGCTCCTTCTTCTTGGAGCTGTGTGGGGGGGACCTCCTGGGCACAGTAGCACGACGTCTCTTCACCGGAGTAAGTTTTGGTTGATCTACCTCTTCAGCAGCCTATCAATGATATAACATCAACAAACACATATAACTTAACTTATACTCTTGTTTTTATCATTTGTTCCTTTATTTCTGTTTCAGAGGTTTCCATTCCATTTATAGATTTGTAAGCAGTCACTTTTTAAACCTAAGCCATAACTCAGAATTACAATACAAAACAGTTACAACCAAAGGTTGAACAATCAAAAGTTACTTATATATCAAAACAGAAAGAGTGAAAGAACATGCAAAGGTTTAACAATAGAAGAGTCTTATGAAGCAGGATATTCTCAAAAATTCAGAATGTGTGTATACCTTTACAATAGGAGATTTTTTGGGAACACTTGAACTGCCAATTTCACTTATGGCATGCGACACTTGTGTCCTCATTTCATCAAACTTAAGAACCATCATCTTGTACCTTTGCTCACACATCTCATGCTCCTTTTCCCGCTCAGATCTTGTCTCTTTTGGCCTGTGGAAGTATTGCGTTGGGGTTATGAAGTGCCCCAACCCTTGAACTCTACTGCCATTGGGTTTTTTCTTAAGAGCAGTGGAAAGAACATCAGCATCCCCACTAGGCACAAACGACCCCTCCTGTACTTTGTGCTTCAGGTCCTCCTAAACAAAGGTTGAGGGAACATAGTTAGTTGCTAAAGAAGTTCTACATTAACATTTTTAAATAGGAAAAACATAGTTACACTTACTATTTCATTTGCCACTTCTTTGACATCATCATCATAGGTCCCATCTTTTTTTTTCCTGCCAAGCAACCATGTATCACAACGATCAATGTCTTCCAGATTTTTGACTCCAAGTTCTTTTTGCTGGAAATTAGAAGAAGAAGAAGAAGAATAAGTTCAACAGTAATATAATGGACGAATAAGTAGCTCAACACTATATATTGTTATAATAATAGACATTCATAGTCATTGATGAAGGACCTTCTTTAAAAGCAAGCCTCCATATCCAGTAGAACCCAATCGGTGGTTCAATTTGTGTTTTTTTCGGCGCTCTCTCGCTTTTCTGCTTTTCTCCTGTAATGAAACAAATTAATACTCAAATTGTAGGTCTTTCACGGTTTACCAAAAAATCTTGAATTGTAGGAGTATAACTTACCACAAATTCTTCGGAGAAAGTCTTCTTCACAAATAATTTCCATTCTTTCTTCGAAATGTGTTTGTACTCCGCGGGAGGTAATTCTAACTTCTCCGGCTCATTCTCATGTTGATAGATAAAGTCAGTTCGCAGCATAGATTTGAAATTTCTGAAAGCTACACTCATAGTAGCTAACGCATGCTTTTTTGAATTGTCACTCAACACGAACAATTCCTACATGCAATTTATTATAAAGTTGTTAGCCCTCTAGCAGATTAATAGTTTAATACTGAAATGTAGCCTTGTTTTTCAACAAACATTATTTATTACCTTAAGATGGTTCCACATTTCATCTTTAAGTTTAGCTTTCACATGTCTCCATTCATCATGCACTATGGAAACATGATCCCGCACCAAGACACCAATATAATTGGTCAGTTCTGTCCATTCTTTACCTGCATGAACACCAAAGCTATTCACCTTTACCACCACCTTATCATCTGCAGCTTTCTTTAGTAGCATTTTCTTTTTTGTCTTTTGTCTCCTTTTAGGGCGTTGGCCCAAATCTTCCAACCCTTCGTCCACATCAAAATCATCCACGACTTCTTCATACTTTGACATGGCTAGCTTTCACCTGTATACATATAATACAAATATGCGGTTATTATTTAATTAGTGAAAATAAAAATAGAAATGAATCACAACAGAAAAATGATTCAAGTATGCTTATAACTTACTGAACGAAGTACATAAATCAGGGTAATTGAGACTCATTGGATACTGGAATTGCATCAATGTCAATCCTATGATAAATTTGATCATCATCTTCAGCTTCCGCATCGTTAAAATCGTTTGGGTATTGTGAAGTTAAAGGTTCGTGTAATATCATTTCATCACTGTCAACATCCATACCATTACAAACCTTCTGCCCAACTGAACACACTATTGATTTTTTAGGATCAAGTTGATCTCTCACATAAAAAACTTGTTTGGCATGGGAAGCTAAAATGAAACAATCATTTTTCTGACCTATCTTATTAAGATCCACTACTGTGAAGCCCAACTTGTCAGTTTTCACATGCCTACTATCTACCCAAGAACACTTGAAAACAACTCTCTTAGTCATTAGATAGTTCAAGACCCAAATCTCATCAAGGACCCCATAATAATTCATCGATGCTAAACATGGAGTTTTATCCTTAGAGCTGGAAACTTGAACAGTTTCTGCTACGAGTCTAACACCACTGTTTTGTGTTACCCGATTCGAATCTCGATCCTTAGTTGCAAAGGAAAACCCATTTATATTATAGCCTGAGTATATTGTCACTGTTGTGTTAGGCTTCTTAGCTAACCACCTCACTGTTTTAGCGACAGTCACACCACTCGCAACATCAACACAAACCTACAAATAAATATTAAATTTTAAGTAAATTTGACTCTTATTATTTGTTATGTATATAGATAAGGTTAGATTTATCAACTACCTTCTCCTCAAACCAGACCACAAATGTACGATAATGCTCCGTATCACAACAAGCAATATTCTGTGACTGTAATATGTCCATGTGTTCCCTATTTGGATAATATTAGAAAACTTAATAAATATGGAAGTGAAGAAAAATTAAGTAAGAGTTATATAAAAGTTAAGTCATACTGTATATAAGGTTGGACTTCAGGGGTATTAAACAGCACGGTACGATGTGCTTGCTCTAGTAGTGAGGAATCAACAGTCTGCGTGTCTCCACGTCCTATCGGCCTTTCAGGTGGCCCATCCTCACGATAATTCACAGGTAATCCAATTGACTCGTGATTTGAAAGATATTCAGCACAAAACTCTAACGCTTCCTCTGCCACATAACATTCAGCCATGCATCCCTCTGGATGGTAATGGTTACGCACATAACCTTTTAAAAACTTCATGAATCGTTCAAACGGATACATCCAACATAGGTAAACTGGCCCACACAACCGAACTTGGGCAACGAGATGAACAGTTAAGTGAACCATTATATCAAAAAAAGCAGGCATGAAATATTGCTCCAAACGACATAGTGTAACCCGGTGATTAGCCTCTAGTATGTCAAGTGCATCATTATCCAGCACCTTCTCACATAATGAATTGAAGAACAGACACATATCAGTTATAGAATTTGTAACATTTTTTGAGAGAGACAAGTTTCGAATGGCTAGAGGAAGAATTTGTTGCATCAGGGTATGGCAGTCATGTGATTTAAGACCTTGAAGATTATTGTCATCTTCAGACACTATGCTTTTCAAATTTGAAGAATAACCATCTGGAACCTTGATATCCAATATGGTTTGACAGAACTTTTTTTTGTCTGCTTTGGACAAGGTGTATGGTGCTGGAGGTAAGGAATTAGAAATGTCATCGGGAACTAACTTTTTCCTAATCTTCATATGAAGAAGGTCATTCCGAGCCTTAATGCCATCTTTTGTCTTTGTGGATTGATCAAGTAGCGTCCCGTAGATGCTCTCGCACACATTTTTCTCAATGTGCATCACATCTAAGAGATGTCGGATTAATAAATGTTGCCAGTAATCCAAATCAAAAAATATTGATTTCCTTTTAAACAATTTATTTTTCATGTCTTCATTCTTTTTCGTACGCTTTCTCTTGACTCCCTTTTTCTTTCCACTCTTATAATTAATATCTTCCACCAATTTAAGGACATCTTGACCCGACAAGGTGGCAGGAGGTCCTTCTCTTTCAACTTTATTGTTGAACAATTTTTTCATATTTCTTAGTTTATGATCATGAGGCAAAAAACGGCGGTGAGCCATGTAAGCACACTTCTTACTGCATT